ATCCTCCTGACAACTCTACGCAAAGTCATGTCGCTGGTAGTCCTCAAGCGCATCTCGCCAGCCGTAAACGATTTCCTATCACTGAACCAAAGTGGTTTTCGTGCAGGAAGGTCAACAGCTGATGTGGTCTGGTGCCATCGGTGGTTAGCAGCTACGACCCAGCGGTACCACTGGTCATTCATTCAGCATACTGGGCATCGACATGTCACGTGCCTTTGACACGATCAGGCGAGGACAGTTGATGGACGTGGTTCAGCGATTCTTGGAAGAAGACGAGGTACGCTTGATCCGTTACCTGATCTCAGATACGAATTTGGCAGTCAGACTGGGCACGGAAACATCAAGCTCTTTCTCCACTAACATTGGTACCCCGCAAGGCGACTCCTTGTCGCCAATTCTATTCGTGATCTACCTGGAAGCTGCCCTGCAGGATGTGCGACAGCGAATGGCTGCACCTGTGGCCCGGCATCTTCCGTACGATGTGGAGTACGCCGATGATGTGGACTTCATCAGTATCTCTAGTGATTGGCTTCGGATGTTAGAGCCACAAGTTGCCACCATCTTGGGTACATGGTCCCTTACCGTCAACCAGACCAAGACAGAATTCACAGCCATCCAGCGAGAGGCCGATCGTGCTGATGAGCCATGGCGTATGGTCAAGAAACTCGGCTCTCTCCTTGGTGATGCAGAGGATGTCACCCGCAGAAAGCAGCTTGCGGCGATAGCGTTTAAGTCCCTCTGCCAGTTATGGAAGAGAAGAGACCAAGTGAGTCTGGAGGTGCGCGTCCGGCTGTATAACTGCTTCGTGTTACCTGTCTTGCTTTACAACTGCTCCACATGGGGCATCACTCGACAGACAATTGAAGCGCTGGAATCGTATCATCGGCGGCAACTTCGGCATATCTTGGGTATCAGGTGGCCCAACCGACTGTCGAACGATTTGGTTTACGAGCGCTGCAGTGCTGCTCCACTTGGCAACATTCTGGTGAATGCAAGATGGCGGTTGTTTGGCCACATCCTGCGATCAGATGAGCACACACCGGCAAGGGAGGCCATGAGTGGATTCTTTGGCTGCTCCGTGCCGGGATACCGTGGGCGGCCGCGGATCACGCTACCAGTCCTGCTGAATCAAGACGCGGAGCGAGTCGGCTGCCGTCTGAGGACTCCAGGGGACTTGCAGCTGATGGCTCAGCGAGCACTGGATCGCCGTGAATGGACATATCTGTGCAACGCAGTTACAGATGCGTACAAGGCAGAGTACTGGTGAAGGAAGTTGGCACTGCAATGGTTTGAGCTACATTCTTTGTTGTTGGTACTCTGATTATCCGTATTATCCGTATTCACATGGCCTTTGCCATTCATTCAGTATATTAATGTCATCAATAATGATATTCTTGTTTGTATTAGTTTATGTGACACCATTTTCTATTTTTCTTTGCCTGCCTGCCTGCTGGTGGCCTTTTTTCGCATGGTTCGGTGCAAGCGAATTTGGGCGAGCCCATTGACGCGGGAGCACAAATAATAATAATAATAATAATAACAACAATAAAAAAGCTTCTTGTGGTCCTAGGGCCGGTTGAAACTAGGGGGGAAAGGGTCCGTCAGTTCGGGAGAGGGAAAAACGACTAGGTGGTTTGGAGGTGACAGCGTTGAGAATGACCGAGGGTCCTCTTCGTCTGTTCTCACCGTCCAGGAGCGATAACTGACTCACGCTGCTATCTGGTGTTCACGAGGTGTTTGTCGCGCTGGAAACGGAGTGTCTCTGTAAGTTTGTATCCCTGGTGATGTTTGTGCCTGGACAGCACCATATAAGTGGTGCTCTTCAGGCGCAATCTTCCTCAGCCTACTCAAGCTCAACTGATGAGGGGTGAATTCCCCGAAACACTGTGTATTGAGCAGGGAGTGGTGCTTTCTTGCAGGTTAGCCGAGTCGAAGGTTCGATGGACTTCTGGTGTTCTCTGGATGGCAGTCGTGAGTCAGTCAAGTGTCAAGTCGTCGGCGGAATAGCGCGAGCTCCAGTGTGGGAGCAAACCCATTCCTAAACAAAATCATCGCCGAAGTCGCAACCTCTATTTCTTATTTTTGCTAACTGATTACGAGTAATATGATCGTATTGATAGAGAGGTTAAGATCCACGTTATCTCTGACGTGACGCGAAAGTTCAGCTCACGTTATTTGGCTCGTGGGTCGAAAAACAACGCGAGTGACCTGCATGCAGCTCAGGTGGAAATTTGGAATATTTGACGTGAAATAATTGCGCGTCACGTCGGAAATAACGCGCATTTTAACCTCTCTAACACTAGTAGTTCTACATGATGGGATATCATATTGCTCCGCTGGAGAGTGCGATGAGGCTCGGCTGAGACTCTGAGGAAACCTTGTATCTAGTCACATGACATGATGGCGGCCATGTTGGTTCTACTACATGTACATGTAGGTATAGTATTATACACATGCCATGATCACATTTTGCATGAATTTAGTCACATGACCAATAATTCCGTTTGTTCCTGTAGATAGTAGAGAGGTTTTGCATTCCGAATTTCGGAATTATTTTCGGAATGTGGCGGCAGCAGTCGAAAAAGTAGTCGAACTTTCGGAAGTGTGGTGGCGAAAGTGCATGGTTTTCCGAAAATGGATTTTCGGCTCTTTCATGTTTGGGAGTGCATATTTGAATACAAAAAAGTGTATTTTTCATGTTTGTATTTTTGCTTTCTGCTGCCCTCGATTATTTGAAATTTTTTCCACGTATGTAGTTTTGATTTTTGCTGGTTTTTGCTGTTCTCACACTCCATCACACTCTATCTTCCTTTGCCATGGAGCCTACTGACAGTACAAGACAGTAGTTCACCAACCTCGTCTTCAGCTGTTGGATCACTTGGTCCAGCATCAGTCCGTCCTCGTCTTCGAACCGCACCCAAATTCAGTTTGACCTGCGCCCTTGGATTTGATCCTGCTCAACCCCTTCGACGCTCTCCATTTTGTTTTGCATGGCAACCCTTGGAAACGAAGTCGAATCAGATTTTCGGAATGCAAAACACTGAAAATACCGTTTTTCGGAACGCGCTTTTTTCGGAAAAGCACAGTCGAAAATCATTCCGAAATTCGGAATGCAAAACCTCCGAGTCTAGTGTAATAGTTAATCTTCTGACTGTAGATGGTATGATAATGTAGTTACGGGCAGAAACACCTTGAACCACGCATAGGCCTTGCACTACAGGGCACTGCACAACTCCTTCCACCTGCCGCGGTCCTGCGCGATCTGGTGCAGGCGCTGTAGGTCGTGCAGGTTATCAAGTTGACCATTGCCTGACATCTTCAGATCGGCTGAGAGAACCGACTGGATAGTGGTGCGGGGTCGGCCCCTCCATTTCTTGGCATCCTTGTCCCTGAAGTAGTACTCCATTGCCATTCTTGCTGGACACTCATCTAGCAAACGAAGAATGTGGCCCAGCAAACGCCACCTCGCCGGCCTCTTCACACCATGAAAACAGGAAGAAAAAAAGGCAACAGGAACGTGAGAATGTTGAGCGGACCCACTTGGATGACGACAACACCATAGCTTACTGGTAGAGCATCGCTGGCCACATAAGCCGTGGACGTGGGTTGATCTCTGGTTCGAGTTAGGCCTGTAGTTCGAGTCCTGGTGGTGGGAATATCACTCACAGCGGCTGGCATTACAGGTGTGGTGCTCACGCAGAGTGGTGGCATCTGGCATCACCAGGCCTAGCCTAGTATAGCAGAGGCAGATATTGTTTAGCCCCGGGCGGGGCCCATGGAGATTTGTCTTCATTATACTACAAGTTGGTTCTTCAGAAATTCATGGTTTCACGCTATTGGTGTTGTGAAATATTAGTACTACTAGTATGCCAGCCTACTCATCTCGTAAACGCACGCTCCGAACTGACTGGATGACAGATCTGGAGTGGTAGGGGCAGACCGTAATCCGATTCCCGTCGTTGCACCATATGCCATGCACACTGCTCTGCCTCTGCCAAGAGAGCGCTGCTGCTGCTGTTCCAGAATGTTTGACCGTTTGTGTTTGAGTCAGCTTCAAATTACATGTACATGACTGTACTTCTTCGCTGGAGCGACGCAGGGCATCATTACAAAAAAACATTTCAAGGTTCGCTTGAGACTCGGTTGGACTGAGTTTTCAGCATCCGTAGGTACACCACCATCCTGCAAGGATCAAAGGCGCAGATGCAGCTCCTAAAGCGGTGGCAGGTGAGTATAGTATTAGTAGATCAGCCCACCAGCAAAGTGGTCAAATACCGGCATCCATGTTTCCCTCGTGCCAGGCCGGCCACGAGTTCAACTGTGGGCGGCAGCACGGCCGGAAAAAAATCCTCCTGCTTCCCAGGAGGACTTCAATCTGGTACCCTCTGTTTCTCAATGATGGTCTTAGACCATCCCACTGCGCCTGCACTGCAGGCCATCATTGCCAAGCTTACATGTTACCCAAAGTATAAGCAGTAAAGTGTTAGTTTTATTATCAAGCTACTTCGGGAGCTGGGAAAGGAAAATATAGGATAACAATTAGCAGGGCCTGGGGTCACAGGGGGGGGGGGGGGGGGGCGGTACGTGTATGGTAAATCTTCGCAACTCCTGTCCTGAAAGTCGTACTCGTAGCACATGACTGAGACTCTCAGTGAGAGATTGCGCGCTGAAAGCGAATCCCGCGGCTGCAGTGTCGAAGGCGTGGTGTTATCGCTACATTATACATCATGTAGATCTACATTTTGTTGTAGTGAACATCACACCATTTGAAACCTTGACACGTTTCCCATGTTTATCTACCCCCCACATCATGACTACCCCCAGGCCCTGATCCACTAATGGCACTATACTACAGCTGTGGCCTAGTGTGGGTAGATTCTCTACACTAACACAGCCAGGATTTACTTCTTTACTTGTGCAGGGCGCAAACTAATACTTGACTCACGGACTTCACTAGTACTACTTGACTCTCTTCTTGAGCAGCATGCACTGTCGTCTCCACAATGCGTGCGCAGTACTTACTTAGTAGCCACTCGTACTCATATCGGTATGAAGTGCTCGTAGCTGATACATGATTTTCGTGTACTCTACATGGCAGCAGCAAGACTCAAGAAAAGCGGAGATCCATGCCATGTGACGGCAGTCGTCGAATCACCTGTGTTGGAGCGTTTCCTTGATTTTCCGCTCCCCATCATTCTCCTCCCGGAGCAGCAGTCACTGGACTGATCTTTCTGGTGACGTTTTGGAGAACAAGTGAGACACACACTCGCAGGTCCAGTGTACTGTTTGCTGACAGTCTGTTGCTGCTGCCATCCTCCGGCCGATACGACAGCAGTCCGAACCCCACTGGCTGTTGAAAGCTTTCGGAACTTCCGTGAGTTTGACACAGCGACGACGGCGGATTTGTGCCTGCCGTGCCGCAAACAGTCAGTGTTTGCCTGTTTGCTGTAACATAAGACGTGGGTTTCACCTGCCTTGCCTTCTCCCGTTCGTGCATTGTGGGCTCTCCAACGGGGCTCGTTAATACGTTATCTGGTTATTCACATACCCGCGTTGCGGTAGCCCGGCAACATCTGGTCCGCATCTTGCCCGCTAGCCTGGCCTACTAAATTAATTGCCGCAACAAGCTAATATCTGATGGCTGAACGAAGCAGCTCCGACTCCAGTCTGGCGCTATCGGAGTCCGACCCGACGTCGCCTTGTACGGATGCATCGGTCAGCCCTACTGCTGGCCTGGAGCAGGAATGGCTGCCCAACTACAACACGTACGACGGCAAAAACTTTCCGCCGCTCGTCCGTCCGGAGAATCTGGACAGTTTGAAGCGGTGTAAAACCAGGAGCGACGATGTATTTGTGTGCACCTACTCGAAAAGCGGTAAGTAGTCCTGAGATTGAGACTTGAGAGGGTTTCCTCAACATGTTCTGGTCAGTATGACAGTAATTCGTCTTACAATCATAATGATTATTCACTGGTTTGAGGGAAAGAAGATTATTGCTATTCTTTATTATTTCCACGATGGCCCATGGCCGGGGGGGGGGGGGGGGAGTCCGTAAACACATGTTTTTACTTAGAGACATCATAAACGGGAGTTTTTTTCTTGACCCACCCACCCAACATTACCGGGCCAGAAATGCTCCCCCCCCCCCCCCCCCCCCCCAAATGCAGATAATACCACTCATAATAACACCATCCTGTACAATGCACACAACAAGACACATGATCGGTATACAGTATATCAGGACAAACACACGCATGGACATACAGGACAAACACACACATGGACATACAGGACAAACACACACATGGACATACAGGACAAACACAAGTAGGTTTGACACAATGTACATACATGACATAACAACAAGAGAAAAAAAAGCTAATGGTATGCCTGACCAGCGCATGTTTCTGGGAGTACAGAGTATGTGTACTACACAAACAATGGTGGTACCTGTCTACTCTGTGGTGACGCGCGCAGTGCAGTGCAGTGTAGTGCGTCTTGAGGCCTACCTGTACTAGCTCTAGCAGTGCTACATCATGTACATATACATGTACACGCGCGGTATGGTGTGCATGCGCTCCGAAATGTATTTTTTTAGAGATGCCCTGCAGGCGAACCCACCCACCCACAAACGCCCAATAGACGTCTCTAAGTAAATACACGCATTTACGGACTGGGCCCCAATGGCAGATAATTATAATCATTGCTATACCGGTTAGTCCATGACAGGAGAAGTGTGAGTTTTTTTGGTTTTTAACGCCAAACATCGTATCTCACATGGAGTAGCGCATGCTCTACGTGTCAGGGAAAAACCCCTACGGCACAATAGCGTAACAACATCGCCCATGTCCGGATCGTATCTCACATGGGGTAGCGCATGCTCTACGTGTCAGGGAAGAACCCCTACGGCACAATGGCGTAACGACATCGCCCATGCCCGCAGGGAATTATCCTGTCGAGTGAAGGCCGTGCTTTTCTCAGTTGTTAGAGAGCTGGGGACGTTGTTGGACAATGGTGCATTGAGGAAACTTGTGTCAAATAATTATTCTCGCGATGGCCTGTGGCCAGTAAGAGACACTGGAGGTGTTCTTGCTGTTGTCGCCGTTGTCCTTGTTTTACATTTACTGTAAAACTGGGATGTCTAACGAGTCCAATTTTTTTCTTCATTTGAAGAAACGTTATCGCGAACCCGGTTTAAGATGTCTGTGTAAAGATGCGCCTACAGATGGGTAGCCAGGTAGCCATCATTAAACTTTCTGCACGTTATCATGCCACAATTACAAAAACGTTAAACTTTCTGGTCGTTCAACTTTTTCCAGTTTTACAGTAAATAAATAATTTGTACCATTCAACAGCCACGGCTCCCAGTCCAACTTGAGGATAACATCCAGCAGCAGCTACGAAATGGCGAACTAACTCAGCAAGAGCTGTGTCATAGTTTGCTGGATCCATCGCCATCAGTTCTGGCAGTGACACCCCAGCACCACTGCGTTAGCCTGTATTCTCACATTGGTACAAACACTCAATCTGCGGACAGAACTGTTTCGTCCTTTGTGGACTCATCAGCGCAGCACAGAGAGAGAATGAGGTCGAACATGATAGCCATGAAAAATATATTTTCCAAAGCCAGATTTAAACCAGGCCCGAACGTACCTTGCCAGAGTGCTCGAACTGACAAGTCAGTGAGCTCTGCAAACGCCCATGTGGAAATCATTTGGAACAAGTATGCGTTCACACAGGGAATGCAGATACGCGCCATGCACCTAAAACGTGGCCCGTGTGACCAGGTATCCATGGTGAAGCGCAGCCGTTGAAATTTGGCCTTCGACTTCAAATTGCCGATCTTCTCTATCTAAATTTTCCGATCTTAGTACTGTATTGCACATAGTAACAGTGCGGTGACCAGCTGCTTCGTATACAAATTCAGCTTGTGTCACCTCTTCGTCATACTTCAAAAGTAGCACCATTGCGTTCTCCTTGGTCCACAGCCCAGTCTAGGCATGCTCTGATAGTCACATCCTCCAACCGACTGACAACACGACTTTTCTGGAAACGAAATGCAAAAAAAATCGTTTTCAAAGTCGTCTTGAGGGCAGTTCGCGGATGGATTTCAAGGTGGATGTGATTTTTTTAATTTTGTCCATGTTTCTATTTCTAAGGGCACTTTGAAGAACATGACGCATGCACATGGTGTTTTACCATGTGTGAATGCACGTGTGAAAGTGGCCCAAGTCCAGGATCTAGGCGGCAATCTAGCACTTAAATTATACTATAGTAGTCTTTCCCAGCAGCTCAGTACTACTAGTACGTCCAAACTAAAGTCATTGTGTAAGGCCGGATACCCCAAGCCCAGAGCCTCGATGGAATGTCCACCACCCCCTGTAACTGGAGCACGTGTTTGATGCCTTTCGCCTGCCCAGCGGCCAGGGCCCAGTGTCACGGTCTTCCTCCTCAGTCATTCAGCAAGTCTATAATTCACTTAGCTGAGTCAGTGTGTGCAATGTATGTTTTGTTGGGTGGCAAGCACTAGTACATGAGTACCACTGTGCCAGCTACCCCCCCCCCCCCCAGGCTAGGCATTGGTGCAGGCATGCATACTACAGTAGTAATCAATGTAGCATTCATAGAAACCAACACTAGCACAAGCAAGAATCCACCCACCAGGGCCAGGGACATTGATTTGATTAATAACCGTGATATCAGCTTACGTCCAAGTACTACTAGTACTACTACAGTACTAGTACTTACTGTCTTTGTCTTTTACGACTACTGCACTGGTCACATAGTCCCCATTGATGTGCAATAAGGCAGCTATGTTTGAAGTACTAGTAGTGCCACACGGACACAAGGCCATGGAATATGCTCTCAGTATGTGTTATGAACACCCTGCCATCTGGGATGTGCCCATTGGTGAGGCATATACATCCTTTATCTGATGCAACTGAAAACTAACATGTAGATATGGGTGTAGATGAGGGGATGGGGCTGTCATGGGGCCATACAGTAGCTTGCATTGATAAAGCCTACTCTACTCTGTTGAAGTGGCGGGAACGGATGGAATCCAACCCCATGAATAGACCAGAGCTGCCGCCCACACTGCACACTGCACTGTTCCTAGTGCTTGGGTTGTGCAGTCCCTAGCATTGTGTTATCCATGCTGTTGGATTTCACTCACCATGCACTCACTAGTGTACACTCACTAGTGTATGGCCGGCGGGCAGGACTCATAAGTACTAATACTATACCATTGACACTGTTGCTGGCAGAACACTGTGTGACCTAGGGCCTGGGCTAGGCAGTGACACGCACTTCCTCTACAGTCCCCAAAGTAAATAGTTGGACAATACCACTTGACACGTTTTCCGACACACTTGATCACCTGCAGCACAAAAGTCTGCCCGGAACAAGCCTAATTTGCCAGGCTGGAATGTTCGGTGTTTCCCATAGTATGCGGTTCAGCCCGCCTAGCCAAGCTCTAGTCTAGGTGAAGCTCGTAAAACAATAATTCTTTGTCGTAAAACGATAGTTCTTTGTCGGGATAACCCAATGCTTGACCACCTTACTTATTGCCATATTTGTCATTCTGTAGCGTGGCCAAAACTCATCTAATGGCTGTGAATGTGTAACTACTCGGCAGTGCGCTGTAAGAAGTAACTTGGCTTGTGCGTTGATTCAGCCATGCAACCCCCAGGATGAAGTACTGTAAGAGTTGAATCTCGAATGGGGTACCGTAGCGTAATGCTCTGATGAGAAAGAATACATCCTTGACTCAAGAAACGTTACACATAATATTATGTTGTTCCTTCTCTCCTTTATAATTATCATGTTAGGGAAATCAGAAGGCAGGTGTGTTATGGCACCGTCATTAAACGTTGTGCCCGCTAAGTGGGACGTGTTTGCAAATCGTTTAATTTCACTTTAGACTCCTCACACAGTTTCAACTCTTACATTAGCCTGTGTATTTGGATTTGGGGCTCTGAACTAGTGATGTGCACGGATAGTCGGGTACCCGTGCTAACCGTGAGGACCTCGGGTAGTCGGGTACCGAATAGTACCCGAAAACCCGAGGTCGCAGATGACATCATGTACAGTGCACGTGTACAAATAATTCACGCATGTCTACCCAATGCGCAAGGGAAGGGGCCGGTGTGCATTGTGGTCTTACCATGGAAACATTACCCGATCGGGTCCCCGTGCTACCCGTGGAAAACTACCCGGACCCGATACCCGAAGAAAATGCTACCCGACTCAGCCCTACTCTGAACAGTACAGCGTGCACTGAGTGGAACTCCAATGATGCGTAACCATGGGGACACATGAAAGTGTATTTAGCCGGTACGTCTTGTCCGAACAAACGCAAAAACACCCTTGCTCCGAATAAGGCCACCCTTTCTTTTTTCGTTGTTTAACGTCCGCGCCCGCGTACCTTTTTGCCTCCGACCGGAAAAAAAAACAAGAAAGTAGTAGTACCAATAATATGCGAAGTTGTAAATACATGATTGTGTAGTTTCACAGTGTGCCGATCATGACCTTAAACTTATAATCTTGCCTCCCGGGCATGCCTTTGTCTTGTGTTCTTTTTCTTTTTTTGTTGGCTTTTAAATATCGTACGGTGTGTGCCCTAGTAAAAATCCAGATGTAATGAATTCATGACATGCTAACTCCATGCTATGTACCTGTTTTGTTGGATTCATCTGGCATGTGCTCCAATTTTATTTATTATTATTATTTTATTTATTATACTAGGGTGTTTCCCACAGACCTATGGTCTTCTTACGGGAGCCCCTAGAAATGTTGAGCATGAACGAACAAATGGGCGATAATCTGTACAAGAGCGAACAGATGTACCATCAAAGAGTGTTGTTCTATGCCTGCAAGTGCCGTTAGACCCAGAAATATTCTATATATCACATGCTTTACTGGTCAAAATGTTTGATTGGGGTTTCCAGTTTTTGGAATGGGCTTTTGTTTTTTTTCCGCCCTCCCGCGTACCTTTTCGTGAAAAAAAGGACGTTAAACAATGAATTAACAAAGGGTGGCCTAATGTTCATTCCATTGACTGAGTGTATGTGTTATCAGAGTTTGTACCAGTCAAGTGTATGTGTTATCAGAGTTTGTACTAAGCAACTACATGCCTACCGTATTATCTCTAATATAAGCACAGTCTCCAATAATAGCATGTCTCCAATAATAGAACACCTTGGGGCAGCATTCAAAAAATAAAGTGCTCAGTCTCCATTATAAGCACACTAGTGTAGATTCATTATCTGTACCGGCGAAAAACCCCTGAAATGTGTGTGTCTGACATGAATTTGGCCATGGCAACATGCCTATGAAGTGAGGTTGAAATAATAATGGAACAGTCTCCAATAAAGGAACGTCTCCATTAATAGCACGGGGCAGAGGTACATTGAAAAAATAAAGGACCGTGCTTATATTAGAGATAATACGGTATGTCCTGTCAATGTATGTACATGTAGTACAAGTTCTCAATCTGCGGACAGAACTGTTTCGTCCTCTGTGGTCTCCTCAGCGCAGCACCGAGAAAACGAGGCCGAACCTGATAGCAGTGAAAACAAAATTTCCAAAGCCAGATTTAAACCAGGCCCGACCGTACCTTGCCATGTACTGTACTAAGTAAGCTCCACCGTACGTGGGATCAAAAAGCTTTCATTACATGGAGATAAGAATGATACACTAACGCAATCCCGAGTAGAGTGAGTTGCGTGCTCAGGACAAACGCCTAAAGAAAAAAACTACATGACCGTCCTGTATGTCCTACTGATGAGTTGGCCTGGAATACATTTTTAGGAATGTACATGACATCTGGTTTTGCGTACCTTGTCTGTACCGAGTGGGCAACTCACGCTATTCATTGCGTTAATATGTGTATGATCATGTTAATTAGGACTACAGACTCAGTGCCATTGAGTAGGATGGGAAGTTGAAAACTGTCTTCTACTTCAAGAAAGGCGGTTGAAGTGCTGGAGGTATGCATGGCAAACAGGCCAAGACCAAATGAGCAAGGTCAATGCCCTTAAACTCTTCAATCACAATTCTTAGCTGCCCCAGAATTCAAGAAGTGGATCACACCTCGCCAGAGCCACAGGCCAGCTGCCTTGTACGTCATTGTGTATCTCTATTGTTCGTCAGTTCTGATCCACTTGAGTTGGGCACTTTATCAAGTGCTGGTGTGTGTGTGTGTCACTGTGTGTGTGTGTGTGTGTGTGTGTGTGTGTGTGTGTGTCACTGTGTGTGTGTGTGTGTGTGTGTGTCACTGTGTGTGTGTGTGTGTGTGTGTGTGTGTGTGTCACTGTGTGTGTGTGTGTGTGTGTGTGTCACTGTGTGTGTGTGTCACTGTGTGTGTGTGTGTGTGTGTGTGTGTCACTGTGTGTGTGTGTGTCACTGTGTGTGTGTCACTGTGTGTGTGTGTGTGTGTGTGTTTGTAGCTATCATCGCCTTTGGCGATGGGCTTTCCAAAGATCCAAAGGTGTGTGTGTGTGTGTGTGTGTGTGTGTGTGTGTGTGTGTGTGGTGTGTGTGTGTGTGTGTGTGTGTGTGTGTGTGTGTGTGCATGTGCGTGTGTGCATAATAATATGCTTGTGTGCATGTGTGTATGCATGCATGTGTATGTGTATATGTGTGTATGGAAGTCTGTGTGTGTGTGTGTGTGTGTGTGTGTGTGTGTGTGTGTGTGTGTGTGTGTGTGTGTGTTTGGCGGTCATTAGACCGCTGCAGTACAAGGCATGCAAGGATGAAAAACAGGGGACGTAACCCAGGATGCGTTCAAAGTGTTTCTCACGTATTTAGAGGTATAATGGTAGCCTGAGGGTATCAACGATAGTAGTAGCAGTACTGCTTTAATAGTAACAAAACAAGTAGATTACCTGGTGTCTGTATAGCACACAGCATGGCCTGTCCATGAGATGGAGGGGATAGGCTATGCTATGAATACTATTGCCTGTGCGATCATAGAGCATCGCGAGAGGCCAAGTGTCAAATTTGTCGAATAGCTGAGCCGCCGAGCCGTGTGTATTGTAACATACCTACACCGTGGCAGACTGGCTTGCATAATGAGGTGTCGTGTAAGATCAGCACACCTTAGCGTTGTGCACATACCATTCATATCAATCTGCGGACAGACCTGTTTCGTCCTTTGTGGACTCATCAGCGCAGCACAGAGAAAGTGAGGCCGAACCTGATAGCAATGAAAAATAAATGTCCCAAAGCCATATTTAAACCAGGCCCGAATGTACCTTGCCAGATGCTCAAACTGACAAGTCAGTGAGCTCTGCATAACCATTCATATCATGTACATGTACACACCATGCATAATCATTATCCAGAGCACAGAACCCGGGAGAGAACAATGCAACTCGGCAGATGGCACAGTGCCTACATTGCATAGCCGCAAACTCCGGTATTCCAGAATCAGCTGGGCCGGCATTGCGTCATTTTAATGATCTACTTTGCTACGGCCTGTAGTCCGCATTTCTCGGTTTGACTTCGGATGGGTTTGTACGTCATACGTAGTGTACAGACATTGCCTTCGGAACTTCCGTATTAGGCGTGAAATCGTCGCACCTTACTTAACCGTGGGAAAACTCACCTCAGTCAGTTTCATCGTCATTTCACTACGTACTGAAGGCAGCGCGCCACGAGTGAATGCGAATGCCAGAACTGTAAGGGACCTGTGGTCGTCGAATGCTTAGGAGTTGAGATAACAGAGCCGGTACTGCAGAAATGCGAGGGCAGCACTTTTCTTATCGTCTGCCGCTTGACTGTTTACACGCACTCGTGCTCATAGGTTACTAGACAAACCTCATTAGTAGACGACGATCGAACATCCTGAAACGCCTGAAACGCATTTAACAGACGTACATGCAAGTCTGGATAGTAGATGATAGTCGTACTCGTTACAAGACAAACATGTTGACCCCCCCGGGTTGTCTAACCCCCCCCCCCCCCCCCGGGTTGTTTACCCCCCCCCCCCCCCCCCGGTTGTCTACTAACAAGAGTAGACATGTACCGGTGTAACAAGGAGAATGTTTGAGAAAAGTCTATCCTCCCGTATCCATGTCTTCTTGACCTTATGCAGGAACAACTTGGATGCAGCACATCGTTCGACTTCTGAAGAACAACGGGCAAACGGAGTCTGACCAGGCCATTGTCAATGTCATACCATTCCTGGAGGAGTACCATGTTGACAATATCGACCTCTGGACGTCGCCGAGAACTATGAAATGCCATCTGTAAGTATTATTATATTATTATTAAAAGCATGTCCGCGTAGGTGGCGGGGGTGCCACTTTCGCTTATGCCATTCAGGATTGATGTCTGAAGAGTAATACGATACAATGAAATGACAGAAGTGACGTCAACAAAAGCCGTTACCAACAATACCAATAGGACTAATGGAAAAACTTCATCCAAAGTATAAAATAAAATAGAATATGCATACAACGTGTCTGGTGGAATCACGTGGATCACGAGAATCAGTCCTGTTAGGTGGGGGGCCATGATGACAGTTCCGTCTGCAAGACCCGTTACCAAAGTCGTCCGAGGTCGACCCCTGAAGCGTTCAGTGGCCTCGTCATTGGCCAAGCGAAGATACATATCCATTGCCAACTTTGGAGGAGCAGTTGGGGCCAAACGAAAGATATGGCCAGCGAGACTGTAGCGCTGCCTTGTGATAATCTCGCTGATCGAGACAGCTCCGCAGCGCTTATACAGAGTGTCATTGCTAATTCGTTTAGGGTACCGCATGTCGATGATGCTCCTTAGCTGGGTCCTGTGGAACGAATCCATTCGCGCGAGCTCCGACATCGGTAGGCCTCAAGTGCCGCAGTTGTAGGTAAGGACTGGGATGACGTAGGCCATCTGCAAGTGCTGTTCAAAATTGATGTTCGAAATTCTAGTATTAAACTCTTCCACAACGCCCCCTCAGACGGTCCTAGAGCGCGGTGGCGTTGCCACGGCGGATGCGGAAAACTTGGCCTCCAGCTGAGTCTCGCACGCACCGTGTATGTATGTGTGTATGTGTATGTATGTATATGTATGTGTATGTGTGTATGTATGTATGTGTATGTATGTGTATGTATGTGTATGTATGTGTATGAAACACATTTATTGATTTTTGTTCTGTTTGGAAGGGCATAGCGAGAAGTGCAGTAAACGTCCCCTAACCGGACGCCCTCGGTGCAGCGAAAACTGTCCTGATATGACAGCATTTCGCTTGATCCAGGGATGCTCGTTCGATCCACAGCACTTTGGTGTATGAAATTTTGCCCAGCCAATACAGGATTCCTCTTGGTACAGAGTCTGACAAACACAGGGTTTACTGCTCTGTAAAGTGAGAAACTTTTGCTAGAGATTAAATTTCGTTATTTTCGCGACTATCACACATTCGCGAATATAAATCGCCGCAAACCTCTCCGTACATTGATTGTAGACAGTACAAGATCCGACTGAAGACAAAGAATCGCACAAGTTTCTCATCGTGAACCAGCCCAATTTATGAAAACGCAAAATTTGCGCCCCGCAACCGTTTGTCGCTTTGCAGCATACAGGTACTCATGTGGCATCTCCGGTGTTGTTCTGTGCAGGCCGCATCACATGGTCCCCCAACCCAGCAGTATGGATGAGACAGCAAGCTCGCCCAAATACATCTACGCCATGCGAGATCCGCGCGACGTCGCCGTCTCATTGTTCTATCACACGCGGGCATTCGAGAAGTACGAGTTCACCGGCGACTGGAATGACTTCTTTCACATCTTTCTCAATGGAAAAGGTTAGTCCCTGTGTTCCTCGACAGAGATCTTTTTTTAAAGAAACAGTCTTTTCGTCTTGTTGACCTCTCTCAGTAGGCTGCTCTAGTGCTGCTGCATCGCGCAATGCCCGCTACTGTTTGTAGCTTGAGCACTCTGGCGCTAGAGCGACGAGCTATCTCAATGTCTGTGGTGCCTCCTTTGCACCATGGCTGGTCGCTCGGCCTATTTAGCTCGTGGCTGTACTGATGAGGCCTTTATGGCCGAAACAGCTTGCTGTCTACAGCATTTGGTCTTTTCTAATGTAATCTCTTTTGTAATGTGTCTTTTCATCTGCTAACACAGCCGAGTACGGTTCCTGGTTTGAACACGTGTGTGGCTGGTGGCAACGTCGTCACTATCGCAACGTGTTGGTTGTGTCTTACGAGGAGATGCAACAGGTTGGTTGTGCAGTGCAGGGAGAGTGTGCTAGAGATTGTGCGAGAGAGAGTGCACAGACATACGCACACAGACGCGCACACAACACACACACACACACACACACACACACACACACACACACACACACACACACCACACACATAAACACACACACACACACACACACACACACACACACATGCACACAATTAGTATCCTCATGAACAAGTTGTATTCTTTCCCTGGCCCTGATCCACTGACTTGGAACGAGACACATGGTCACATCGTATCCTGAGGTTTATTGTGTGATTTGCTCCATCCACCTTGCAGGATCTGAGGCAGGTGGTGTGCAAGGTAGCGTCTTTTCTCAATCTCGCCAATGTGACGGACAGCGTCATCGACCAAGTCGTAGCAAAGAGCTCGTTCTCGGCGATGCGAGTGGACAAGACTGCGAATTACTCCTGGGACGACCAGTATCGTCGACCGGGCCACGTGCCGTTCTTCCGTAAGGGACAGGTTGGGGACTGGACCAACCACTTCACGGCTGAGCAGGCGCGCGAGTTCGATGCCGTGTACAGGCGGTTCGCCGAGCGCGTCGGGGACTTCCCGGAGTGCTACTGTAGCGGTGCTGGTGTGGCAACATCATGACGCATGTGTTGCGGGGCTTCACTGCGCTGCGCACGCGTTGCTAATCTCGGTGTGTCGCGGTGCCGTACGACCGCGTTCTGAAGCTGGACAGAAAGGCGTGCATCATCATTCGGGGATCGACCCATGACCGGTGGGGAATTCCCTGTCGCACGATAGCCGCGGTCATCAGTGCTCCGTGTGGGCCACCATGCGAATGCAAAGAGCACTGAGAAGCCACAAAACATGCTCCTTTTGAAGTAGCGGAAGTGGCAAATTTCAAAATAGCTTCAAGTAAAAAGATGCTTTTGGGCGCAACAGTGCTCAAGATTGCACACCGGAACTACAGCAAGACAATGGAGCTCTCCCAGAAGTTCAATATTGGTACACGTATTGTCACAAAACGACACTTTTAGTGCTGCAACCACCATGTTTTAAACCCATTCAGCCACGTGTGCGCCGATATTATTTCCCGCGTTTGGTCCATGTCATTCGAGAAATTTTCACTTATTCTCCGGCAAAGAATTAATTTATGATCTCACTTCCTTTGCACAACGGATACCACACGATGTAAGATTCATTTTTCTTCTGAAATTAGATAATAGTTATGGACATTCACAAGGATTAGATTATTCACTCCCCGCTTTCCTACTGGTAGTACAGAGTGATAACCATGGCAACCGTGTGTCGTCGAATCCTACAATAATTATGCCCGTGTTGTCGTATACAGTGTATCATAATTTCATAAAGATGCTGCAGGTTCAACTCTCTCTCTTTCCTACACCGAGTACCGTATTTCCCTGAATATAAGTCGCACCTTTTTACACTAAAATTCAAGGTGAGAAAGGGGGTGCGACTTATAATCGAGCATGACTTACTACTGAAGTCAATAAAATCAAAACATTATTGCTCAAACCTGAAAATGGGGGTGCAACTTATGATCGAGTGCGACTTATAATCGGGGAAATGCGGTAGTTATTCGTAGTAGAACATGTTGTAGATGTGTGATCACCACAGGTCAGTTCCAATGGGTGAGTACCAAGTAGTGCTGTGTGTGTTGGCAGACTTGGCACACTCGTGGAGCTTCTCTTCCCCGCGGCTATGTGGCCTCCGCGATTCCGCTTGTTGCAGAATTTCCGCAGAATGCCGCAGTGATCGCAGAACTCTGGAGAACATCCAACGGACCCTGTAACGTCGCAGAAGGTGAAAAGCCAGCGTGTTGCCGGGGAGATGTGACATCATCGAATACTCCACGACCGGCAGGCTGCAATTGCCATCGAACACCTCTACTACCAGTAATGTAAACCTGCTGGGTGAACTTACCTACCTTTGCGCTAGCTCGCCGACAGTGGTTAGTTACCATGGTGATGCACAGGGCTGGTGCTGCCTGCATGGATTGTTCTTACAGCTCCGCTGTGACTAAACCATGCACATCTCAGTGCAGGGTCACCGTAACTGCTACGGCCGCCATTGCCGGACACGCTATTGAGTGATGCAAGTGAGTGATGAAGACTGAGCTGGGAAGAAGAAGAACTTGAGAAAGAAAAAAAGCCACCAGCACATCCCACATCCCCCTCCTGCCATCCCTTCTCCAGTGATTGTTGTTATGGCCGCTAGTGGCTGCTGCTACTGCTCCGGCCCTGGGTAGCTCTGCTCTGATTGGTCAGCAGCCTAAGTTCAGCCAATCAGAGTCTTTCAAGCTGGCAAGGACTTCTCAGCTACATGTACTTGAAGTACAATGTAGACCAGTGAGTGATGGAGAATCTGGACGGAAACAAATTCAACAGCAAATCCCAAATCTCTCCCTCCCACCACCCTAACGATCAATTACTTTTATAGCCTGCTCAGACCCACAGCAGTGCATGTCTGCTCTGATTGGTCAGCAGCTTCAGCCAATCACAGTCTTTCCACACTATGACTTCACACCTCAGACTATGTACAAGCGATGGAGAATGTGAACAGAAAAAATCAAAAAAATCTCACCTCAGACTATGTACAAGCGATGGAGAATGTGAACAGAAAAAATCAAAAAAAACTTCAGCAAATCCCAAATCTCTCCCTCCCACCACCCTACCCGATCAATTACTTTTATAGCCTGTTCAGACCCATGAGAGCATGTCTGCTCTGATTGGTCAGTAGCTTCAGCCAATCAGAGGCTTTCACACTGGCTATGACTTCTCACCTCAGACGATGCACATCGCAATGATGGAGAAACTGGACAGGAAAAAAATCATCAGCGATTCCCAAATCCTGTCACCCTGCCCAAGGAATTACTGTTCAGGGACATAGCAGCTTTTACGCCCGACCACGGCCAAAAGTGCCCAGGATGCAGAATGTTGCACCCTAATTTCAAATTTTTCACGGGGATACCCCCGGTCCCCCTCCAAAGGCGGTGCGGCGATGCTATGCTATGCGCCTGCTGTTATAGCCTGCTAAGGGTGCTTGGTCCGCATGTCTGCATGCTCTCTGTTTGTGCTGGGGAAAAAACATGCTTACCAGGACATACTGACTTGGACTCCCCCCCCCCCCCCCCAGGCACACGACAAAAAATCATCATTACCACGGTGAAAAGTCTACATCTCTAAAAAAAGAAAGAAAAAGAAAACACCAAATCCAATGGCAAAAGCCCGACAGAGCATGAACGAAACCTAGCAAACACACAGCACTACGAGGATAAAACTTTAAAACTCGAAACACGGAGCCGACAGATGGCTAAAATGAGAGCAATGAAACAGCATGGCAATAAAAACCAAAAAAAAAAGCAATCAAAGCTTTATCTACTACACTTGCTGCGATCGGACTCGCAGCATTGTTTCTATGCGTAAGCACAGTAAGTAACCTTTGGCAAGCTGAAGCACCAAGATGGATACATGGCACACAGCACAGTAATGATGAAACAGGACAAAGCAGAAAATTAATGCTGAAGATGCCGAGAGCATCGTCTCCAACAAGAGATGCAGAACGAGGCGGGCAGCGCCGAATTCAGCAGCACAGCGAGTACAGAAGCACGTAAAGAGATCGCAGACAAAGCGCAGCGTATAGCGGGAAGAGAGTGGATCCAGGCTGAAGCTGAAAAGCACTGCTAAGCAACGATACAAAACAACAAGCAGGGTTATACGAATATTTTCACAATACGGGGCCACCTAGAGAGTAAAATATTGCATACGGCTAAAATAGGATAGGAAATTGAGAGCAGCAAGAAGACAAGCACAGGATGACGATCTCACACAGTTGGTACAGGGTGAGGGTACGCGAAGTTTTCCGGTAGAAAGGAAAGATGTGGGACTCATCCAGCGAAAAGAAGAAAAAGAAGAAAAAAGGCAAATGGTCGCGGGGATGGTGTATGCATGACCGAGCATTGACCGGCGTCAGCGCACAGCACACGCACACGTGGCCGCCTAGCTTATCCGAAGAAGATGCCAGATCCGCCGCCACCCGGTGGTTGCAGCACACGTGAGCTGGCACGACCACCGCCAGGAGCCTCCGCTACAGTAGACAAACAAGACAAGAAAAGAGCGCATGTTTAAAGCACACATGCACATAAGGAGCAGAGGGCAAGTGCCTATAGAGGCCGATCCACAATACAACTTTTTGCTACGCGACACGTGATCTGCGACAGTTGCGACAAGAAAATGCCCGTTGCGAGCTGTCACGTATAGTCGCAAGGCACCTGTCTCAGAAGTTGAAGAAAGTTAAACCTTTGCGACATGCGGTGCAGGAAATAGACAAATGGCGTACACTCTAATTTCAGAAAGTTTCGGTGCTCAATATTTTCGGTATGAGGGCAAAAAGGCCAAATAAGGTGAACAGAAATTTAGGTAGAGAGAAGCAGTTCCCTATCGGTTTATGTGTTAGGGTTTGTTCGGCGTATTGAAATTTCAGGTATGAAACAGACGCACCGAAAGTACCGAAAATAAAAGTACACCGAAAATTTGTGAAACTACAGTAGTTTCTACTTTGGTCATGTGCAGTGCACGTGCACAGTGCCACTAGAGTATGGCGATGTCGCAAACACCAAAACAGATTGTGAACAGTGTGTCGCTGTCGCAGGTCGTCGCAGGTGTCACATCGCAAAAAGTTAAAAAAAAGAGTAAAAGAAAAAAAATAACATGTCAGAAGTGGGATTCGAACCCACGCCCACATACGTGGACCAGAAGGCTCCAATCTGCATTGACTGCAGAAGGTACACAAGACCTTGAGTCTGGCGCCTTAGACCGCTCGGCCATCCTGACACGACGGAATCTAGTGCTTGAAGATAGCAATTTCTAGAGTGATTTGGGTATATGCACTTTGCAAAACATTTCCAGCTGAATGCAGAACCCTCTTGTATTATTATTATTATTATTATTATTATTAAATTTTTGATAGGGCAATCCTCACAGGCCTAAGGCCTTTTGACAGGGTACCCTAAAAAATGAAGAACAGAATTACGGAAGGTATGCAAGGAAGAACTTGAGCGGACCTCCGCTGGGAGGGCATTCCAGCGGTCAGAGCCAAGGAAAGTGACAGAAAATAAACCATAGCGACGTTTGGCTGTCGGAAGAGCAATACATGACGTCGTCAACAGGATAGAACTATGGTCACAAGACTCTTACTTCGTCGTGAGGAAGAGCCTGGTGTAGTGGTCTGCGACGAGGACGTATCCTTTGTCGGCGTGTCGTCGGCGGCCGAGGATTCGGCGGACGCTGGTGCTGCGTCGCCCACCATGATGTCACCGTCCTTGGTCCACACAGGGCCGGAGTAGGGCTTCCTGTCGACCTTCTGCGGCTGACGCGTCTGAGACAACAACAAGAAGGTCGTGTACACAGAAACCTCAGTGAAAATTAAAAAAGTACACTCTGTGTCATTGGACAAAACATCCTGTAAACTGCCTACCGTAGTTCCGTGCATATAAGCCCATGGGCTAATATACAAAATAATGCATTTTCCGGGGAAAAAAATTAGTAATAATGGTTCGTTTTTTAGCCCTGGGCCTATATTCGAATTTTGAAGGCAGCTGGCACGCGAAAAAGCACTACAAGTCCGTGCGCGGTTGTCCGCCTACCGTAGGTACCGGTACTGGTAATGTAGTCTGCACTGACATGCTGTACTACGGTGTTTGGGTCTGTTTATTAGCCCATGGGCCTATAAACGGAGGTGGGCTTATATCCGGATATAGGCCCATGGGCTTATATACGCGGAACTACGGTAATGCTTAACACGTTGCCACAGCACACCATCAGCAAAGCGACACTTTAGTTGGTACTCTGCTCCTTCAGACAGCAGCTGTTTCGATCATCAGGATCTCGTCAGTGAAGGTTGATAATGTAGAACGGCTAACAGATAGTGAACTTCACCCTTTTGTAGCAAAAAAGGGTCTTGGGACGTATTAAAAGGTTTGCTATTATCATGCGAGCAGAGCATAACTATGTTAAAGTGGCGAGGCTTCCTGTAGTTTCGGCAAATTGTCTTCATCAGGTTCACAATGATGTGCAAGCTGAGCTCTCAAACCAGCATTGATAAAGGCCAACAACTCCCCAGTGTCAGTAAGAGCGTAACACGAATATTAGCCGTCGTGGAATCAAACTTCAACAGTGGGTGTATGTGTGTGGCCACACAGTGCTCCGCAACAACAGTTGCCATCGTAAGCTCGCCGGTTCTGAGAAATCGCAAACATTTAGTGACACGAAAATGAGGCGGTTTACAGCACTT